CCGGCCCTCCGGCCCTCCCCACCGCCGGCCCCAACCCGTCGCCCCAGCCCCGTCCTCGCGCGAGGGCCGCGGTCCAAGGATATTGCCCCACGCGGAGGTCCTCGCACTTCGGCGTCTCCTCGGCGCCGGCCGCGGCGGTGGCAGCCACCCCCCAGGAGCCCGAGGCGACGGCCGCAAGCCACAGGACGCCCAGCAGCGGCGCGGCCACAGGATCTGCAGACGCGGGCCACGGGGCCCTGGCGGCCGCCATGTTGGCCCGCGCACCGCGCGCTTCCGCTTCCGGTCCCGCCCCCGCGGGCCTCCGGAGGGTGGGCGGGGCGCAGGGCGCTCTTAAAGGGGCCGCGCCCCTGGAGGGTCTCCCGGCTGTGCTCTGCAGGCAGGGCGTCCTGGATGAAGAGCGAGAGTCACCCACGCGTCCAGACGCCGCCTCGACAGGGTTGGCGTGAGCTCCTCCTTGACCCGGTCTGGGCAATTCGGGTCCTGCCCCAAAGCGCCCGCGGTGCTGGGCTCGGTACTCCACTAGGTGCTGGGCTTGGTGCTCAGGCCCCTGCCTCTGGGTACCGCCGCCTGCCGGTGTTCCCCGGGTCTCAGGATCTGTGCTTGCGGGGCGGCGAGGATCAAGGCGGGGAGCAGGGTTCCTGCCCCTACTACATCTCTGTGCATCCTTGAACTCAGGTGGTGGAAATGCATATTTGGGTACCGGGCCTAGAACCCAGTCCTTCACACCAATCGGTATCTGCAGCCCTTTTTATTTATTTATTTATTGACAGGGCCTCACCAAGGCACTTAGTTTCACCAGCCCTGTTTTTATACTTTAAAACATTTATGCGTGTCAATGCTTTAAATAAGGTTTGAATGATGGGAGATTTATGAAATGTACAGGACTAGTTTACTTTTAAGTGCACTTCATTCTCTTTTCCTTCCTCTTTCCCTTTCTTTCCTTCTTACCCTCCTGTTTATCTTCTTTCCCACTCTTTAGAAACATTTATTGAGCATTTATTATGTGCCCAGCATTAAGCTACAGTGCTAGTGCTAGACCCTAGAAAGAAAAAAAGAGACAAGAAAAACGCCTGTAGGTTTGGTAGGGAAAAAGACAGAGAATCTTGTTTAATACATGTCACAATAGCAATACCTACTAGTTAAGTAAGTTAGACATGCCTTGTTTTGTTTTGAAATAGGGGCTTGCGGGGGGGTGTTGCCCAGGCTGGCCTCAAACTCCTGGGCTCCAGGGGTTCTCCTGCCTTAGCCTCCCCAGCTGTGGGGTCGTTCAGAACGCCACGCAAAGCCTTGGGCTTGCAGAGTACTTGTTCTACCCCAGAGCTACAGTTCCAAGCCCAGGGCCTGGCTCTGATGAAGCACTTGGGGCCGTGTGCCTGGTGTCCAGCCAGCACCGCCGCGGCCTCAGCCCAACATGAGATTTAGGGAAGGTTAGCAGTCTAGGAGTCTGTCAAATTCAGGACAAAGATCCAAGTGTCTATTACACTTTTTTTTTTTTTTTTGGTGGAACCAGGGATTGAACTCAGGCCCTTGCGCTTGCCAGGGAAGCGCTTATTCCACTGAGCTACCTCCCCGGCCCCTTTTACGCTTTTTATCTTGTGATAAAACAATGTCTTTGTAGTTTGACTCGATTTTGACTTTCAGAATGTGTCCTGAAAGTAGGATTGAACAGTGCTCCCGCCCACCACAGGATATTGCTGACCTTGGTCGTGGTGTCAGTGTACACACAGATTTGAACAATTAACTTTGAAAATGCTTATGCTTTGCCAATTAATCCCATCACAAATCTGTTTTTATAATTTAATGATTATCTCTGCTCTGTCCCTATAATTAAAAAGAATGAAAAGTGGGAGAGACCAAAAGAAGTGGCTCTTGAACTTTCCACAGTGCTGAATGGTCGTGGCCTTGACCCTGACCTCCCTCCCTCCCTCCCTCCCCTCCTCTCCATCCCTCTGTCTCCTTCCACCTCTATCTCAGCTCCAGAGGCCTCCACCATTGCTGCTTTAAACTCAGCAAGAGGGCTGGGGCTATAGCTCAGCAGCTTGCCAGGCAAGCGCAAGGTCCTGAGTTCAATCCCCGGTTCCACAAAAAAAAAAAAAAAAGAAATTCCATAGGATTCTCAAGAAAGCACAGCTCATGAGCAGCACAGTCCAGGGAGTGGAGTTGGAGCAGAAACAGAAAAAGGTGAGCAGGGTGTCAGCCAAAGCCTGTGATGTGGGAGCCCCCCACCGCCCAGCCCCCAACCCTGTTGATCCCTTTCACGCGTGTGGTTTTATGGACACCTGATTATGCTAACAGGTAGTTCTACTTGGAGTGACACCTTCTGAGTTGACCAACCTGACTCCAATGTCTGTTCGGGACGGAAACAATACCCTATAAAGCGCTGTTACTTTACCTGCTGAGGAGGTGACCCTGTCGACCCAGCACCCATGAGGCTGAGCCACAGGGGTCACTGTGGCTTTGAGGCCAGCCTGGGCTCCACAGAGCGTTTGAGGCTACTCCTGTGGCCAAGCTGAGGATCTCACTCAGGGCCAAGCAGAATCTTGCCCAGAAAATAACAACAACAAAAAAGTAAATTGGCATTTCTCAGTTTAGCCACCAATATTTCTGTCAGGCTCAAAACCTGGAATTGCTCTTACCCGTGTGTCTTCCAGCGAGGCCTCGCCGCACCCTCCTCCCCGCATGAGACCCAGGCTTGCGCCGAGCGCTCACTTTACGTGTGCTTGTCTGTTCAGTCTCTTTGAGATGGGCACGGCCTCAGCAGTCCGGGTCGGACTGCCAGCTCGGGATCCTCCTGCCTCAGCCGCCGACCTCTGCGGCTGTGACGAGCTGGGCTTCAGAGCACAGGCTCTCGCATTTTATAATAAAGGACACTTCTGAAGACTCCCTCCAAGAAGGGAAAATATGGAACAAAATAAGTTGTTTAGAAATGTATCAAAACATTTTATTGTATTTATTTTTGGTACTGGGGATGGAACTCAGGACTTCGCACTTGCCAGGCAGCCACATAAACCGCTGAGCTATCTCCCCTCCCCCGGCCCTTCAAAACATTTTAAAACTTTTGTGTTTTTAAAATTCTATTAGTGCATGTTTGCAGTACATAACTACATTCATCATAGGTAGAAATACTTTTAGTTCCCAGTAAATGCCAAAGGAAAGCTCACGCTGAGTCACGAGACGGTGGAGTGATTGCGTTGGAGCCCCCGCGCCTCTCGGCAGGCCTGAGGCACATTCCAGGCGGGGCGGATCACCGATAGCTCTGGAATGGCCATGCAGGGCCAAGGTGCAGGACTGCGGCCAGGTCACAGTTTTAGAGAGGTGACTCAGGAGGGCGTGTGAGGGCCCTGGACCATAGAAAGAATTTAACCCTGCTTCAGGCTCAGCGCAGAGTTTCGAGGTAGAGGGGCAGGAATGCAGTCAAATGTTCAAGGAGCAGGGTTTGGTGGCACACACCTATGGGAGGCTGAGGCAGGAGGATCCCCATGGGTTTGATGCAGCCTGGGCTAATAGTGAGTTGCTGTCTCAAAAAACAAACAGGAACAAACAAAATCAAGGTTTAAGAAGTTTCCTAACGTTGTGGGTGGTAGCTTGTGGCCCTGGGTCTCTACGCACGGTAAAGCTGTCCCCTGATTCACACATGCCCCCCCTTTCAGCTGTGGAAGCCCCAAACACCCCATGCAGGCCTCTCGAAGTCCTAACCACCTTCCCCCTTCCCAGCAGCCAGCATTCATTTCTCCGCTTCCATAGTGCTGGCTCTGGCTGGCTGAGGGGTGGCTCAGGCCTGGGAGCTGACGTGCGGAGCCTCGGGTCGTGTGGGGCTGCGGGAGGCCAGTGCTTACCCTCTGGAGAACGTCTTCCAGGGCACTCGTTCACTCTTTAATCCAGTTTCCACGCCTGCCTTTCCTGGGAGCTTTTGAGTTCCCAGTAGATTCTCAACACTGGCCCTCTTTTTTGTTTGTTTTGTTTTTTCAGTTGGGGGAAGGAAGGCAGGACCTCGCATTGCCAGGCAGGCACTTATGCCACTGAGCTGTCTCCTCAGGCCTCGACACTGACCTCTTGTTAGACCACAAGTGTTTGTGCCAGCCGAGCATGGTAGTACACGCCTGTAATCCCAGCACTCGGGAGGCTGAGGCAGGAGGATCATGGAGAGCTCAAGACCAGCCTGGCATACAAAGTGAGCTCAAGGCCACCCTGAACTACAGGCCCTTTCTCAAAAAAGACAAAAAAAAAAAAAAAAGACAAGTGTTTGCCCATTCTCACTCTGATCATTTCTTTCTTTTTTTTTTTTTTTAACTTTATTTATTTATTTAGTGTGTGTGTGTGTGTGTGTGGCCAGCTCAGCCCACCAGGGGGCGGGGTGGGCCGGCATGTGGTGCTGGGGATTGAACCGCGGTCCCTGTGCTTTGCTTAGCTTAGCTTGTTCTAAGTAGGTGCTTTAGACCACTGAGCCATCTCACCAGCCCCTGATCATTTCTTTTACTGTGAAAAAAACTATTTTTTTTGTTTGCTTGTTTTGTCTTTTGATTTTTTGAGACGTGGTCTCACTACGTGGTGGACAGCACACACCTTCGCTCCCTTCATGTGCCCTTCCCTTCCAGTGTACATTGCAGGCTCCTGCATGGAATGTGGGCTGGCTGCATGGGCCTGCATGTGGATTTCCTTTTTTTTTTTTTTTAATTTATGTATTTGGTGCAGGGTCTTACTCGGAAGCTCAGAGGCAGGGCTGGCACAGCAGCGGTGCCGGGAATCGAACCCAGTCCTTGCACGTGCCAGGCAGGCGCTTAGACTGCTGAGTTATTTCCAGGGTCCTGACTGCACGTGGATTTGCACTCTGCCCTCTGTGCTGGTTCTAGGTGGCACATGCTGGATCTCTTGGTAACCATGGCTTTTAGTATGTTTTGTACTTACATATTGGGATCCTCCAGCTTTATTGCTATTTTTTATTTTTGCGGTACCTGGGACCAAACTGAGGACCTTGCGCTTGCCAGGCAGGTACTTATGCTGCAGAGCTATATCCCTGACCCACTCAGTTTTATTCTTTGTTTGCAGGTTGGTTTGGGGTTTTTCGGTGCCAAGAATCAAACTGAGGGCTGCGCTTGCCAGGCAGGCGCTGTGCCACTGAGCTATATCCCCAGCCCCATTCAGCTTTACTCTTTTTTCTCAAGGTCCTCTTGCTACTCGGGCTTTCTCCGAGTCCTTATAGACTTTATTCAGCTGTTTTTATGCCTTATAAAGAAGGCCCGTGTGTGGCTCCAGGATTACTGCTTTGAATGCATAAGTGGCTTTGGGTAGTGTGGACAATTTAAGGATGTTAACCTGTCACTCCGTGAACACCACGTCTTTCCCTCTCTGTGCCTGTTCTTTTCTATTTCTTTCATGGGTGTTTTGTAATTTTCCACCCAGAGGTCATTTCTGCTATGGCTACCTTTATGCTGAGGTCCTTGCTTTTCTGGCCCTGCTTTTCCTCCCAGCTGTGGTGAGCAGGGTCGTTTGCGGGCCTCCTTTCTCACCGTGGTCATTACTGAGTGCTGTCAGGCTTCGCAAGCTGGGCCGCAGTGCGCTGCACAGTGGACACCTCACTCCTGAAATCCAGGAGCAGCGGTCTCCTCGCCAGGCCTCCTTGCTGTCTGTCTCGGAATCTGCCCACCGGGCGGAGCGCGAGATGTGACGGATGTCCTCACGCTTAGCTGCTGGGGACTCCCCTTCCTGGACACGGGACCGGTTTCACACATCCTTCCAGGTCCTGGAGAACCTCACAGACACTGCATGTGTTCTGTGAATAGGGTGCCAATGACTGCTTCTTTCTCACCAAGGGTGCTTGACAGTGAAATGCTGGGAGGGTAAGGGTGCAGCCCCTTCCTTTCCGGAAGTCAGGCTGCGAGCTGAGGAGGTGGGGTGGGGGTGCCTGTCAGGTTTGGGTCCTGGCCCAAGGTTTCCCTGAGGGACAAGGTGGGTCAGAGCCCACAGGAGATGTGGGAGCCTGCTTCCAAGTGAAATGGAAGGAGAGAGAACCGTGCAGCCACCCCAGGAACCCACGCACCCACCCATCCACTCACCCACCCTCCCACCCTTGAACGCACGATGTCCACGGGCCCAGGGCTTCACTCTCAAGTCGCGCCACTTCTGCTGACGCAAAGGAGCCCAGAGCCAGGCAGCAGGGCGAGCAGGTCAGTGCTCCGCCCGTCCCACGCTGTCCCCTCCCCGCCCAGTCCCCGCCCCGCTTGTCCCCGCGGGTGGCGCAGGTGGCCCCGCCCACTTCCGCCCAGGTGAGCTGCCCCAGCCTGCACCGCCGCGGACAGGTAAGGGTGGGGGCCCTGGGGACCCCGAACCTGAGCGAGCCGGGCCGGTGACCACAGTGGCTCCGCGCCCTGGCCTGCACTCTCCTGCCTCGGCGGCCGCGTCCGGCCGCAGGGACCGCGGCGGAGGCCCGTCCCGAGGCGTGACCCGAGCGAGCCCTGACCGCGGTGGGGTGGGGGGACCCCGGACCCCGACTCGCCGGACACAGCGCAGCCCACCGGGCACCAGGCCGAGCCCCCCGAGACGGGCAGACCCCGCGGGAGACAGGCACCCCCCACCCGTGGCCGCCCGGGACGGGCACAGCAGGGTGCAGTCCGAGGCCGGGCCGCGTCGTCCCGCCCCGGGCTTCCCAGCCTCGCCCTGGCGACGTCAGCCCCGCGCCGCACCCTCCCCCGCCCTCCCGGGCCGGGGCGCGCTGCGCCTCGCGCGAGTACAAACCCTGGTTCAACTCCGGAGGAAATTGGGGCCCGGGGCCGCGGGCCTGCCCCTGTTCTGGCGGATCCTAGGGGCTGGGGTGCGCGGGCATACGCTGCCCACCTGCTGAGGTCGGGGACAGTAGCTGAGCCAGCGCCCAGAAGCTGTGAAAGAAAAGCAGTCCTGACTTGGGGGTGAATTTTCTTTCAGGTCCCCCCCCCCCCCCTCCGAGATTGAACTCAGGCCCTTGCGCTTGCCAGGCCAGTTTGTGTTTTAGAAGTTTGGGGCCTGAGAGATGGCTCAATGGAATATGTACTTCCCTGGCAAGCGCAAGAGTCTGAGTTCATTCCCTGGTTCTCCCCCCCCCCAAAAAAAGTTTGCATATGGGCAAGTGTCAGCATATTTTTTTAAATCTTTTTATTTTTTGGAATAAAAATATTCTGCCCGTCCCGGTTGGGTTTGGCCTGGTGCCGGGTGGGCTGTGCTGTGTCCTGCTAGTCGGGGCCCCAGGTCCCTGCCCCACCCCACTGCTGCCCACGTCTCAGTGCAGTGCAGGCTGGCCTCCAACACTTGGCAATTCTTCTGCCTTAGCCTTCCAAGTGCTGGGATTCCAGGTGTGTGTGCCACGCTGGCGTGCCAGTGTATTTTCTTACAAGAAATTCACCTTGAAAACCTGTGCCATTGAGACAGTGGTTCACCCTCCTGGCCCTCACACCTGCACTGTGATCCTATCCTCCTGAGAAGGTTCTCGGTTCTTTCTGCTCTCCCAGGCAGGCCCTGGGCTCATCCTCCTGCCTCAGCGCCCCCAGGGTGAGGTTCCCGGTGGCCTGCAGCTCACGACTGGCCCCACTGCTCAGCCAGGCAGCCTGAGTTCACCTCTTTGTTACCATTTAATGAAAATGAAAGCATGGAAGGTGAGGACTGGGCAGCCCCTGCAGAGGCTCTGCTCACCTTGACTGCAGTTCGGTTTTCTTAGGAGTAAATGTAACCCATCCACCTTTATATTTCAGGTTGTGTAACTGCTGTCATGTGACCTAGGGTTTTGTGTAGACTTTGGGACATTTTGAAAGCCCCTATTTTATGTTCTGGTGCAAGTAGAGGGCACTTTGGTAACTTTAGATACTTTTCTATTTTGGGGCGCTGGGATCTACCCTGGGGCTGTACCCCTCTTAGAGGTGGAGAGGCCATGGGGTGCTGGCTGACTGGGTAGGTCTACAGATTCTGCCCTCTATTCTGGGGTGGAGGAAGCAACTCACTGAGGTTGGGTAGGCCAGTCTCCCCTTCCTGAGGCTGGTTCTGGGGCCTGGAGGGGCAGTGTGAGAGTCAGACCGTGCTTGGCTCACAGCTGCTTTGACAGAAGTGCCCCAGGCTTCAGGAGCTGACAGACGGAGCGGTTTTCTTGGGACGCATGCAGGGGTCTTTCTGAAGAACCCAGTTGCATGGTGAGCTGTTGGCAAGCCAGGTGTGGAGCTCCTGACATGGGGCTGGCTGGGATTGAGACACTGCATGACAGCAAAACACACGTTGGATTTTCAAGCAGTTTAAAATACCTTATTGGGCCGGCCAAATAGCTCAGCAGATTAAAGAGCCTCCAAGCAGGTGCAGGGGCCAGGGGTTGGATCCCTGGGCCTGTCATGCCAGCCCCACCCCAGGGCTGGATGAGATGCAATTGAGACTGGGTGTGGTGGCCCATGCCTGTGATCCCAGCTCTTGCGAGGCTGTAAACAGGCGGATCACTACTAGTCTGATCTAGTGGTGATACCCTAAGCGCCCTGTAGACCCTTCCCTAAAAATAAAATACCGTATTAACTTGGGCTTGGTGGTGCACACCTGAGATCCTGGAAGCTGGTGGCTGAGGCAAGAGGATATCCATGAATTCGAGGCCAGCCTGAACTGCACAGTAAGATCCTGTGTCTAAAAACAAAAACATAAAAGACCTTATTAATGCTTATTACTGACACCCCACGTGTAGACCCTGAACTCAGCCTGGGTCCCCTTCTGGCCCCTCCATCACCTCCACACTGGTGAGGTTTTCATGGCATCTTCTCAGAGATGCCAATTGCTGACCACCGACCCAGGGAAACCTCCACTAGCTTAACTATAACACTTTAACCACAGCTGTTCTACAGCCCCGAAATGTCCCCAGCTGCTCTAGTCCAGAGCAATGCCATGCCATTTGGTGAAGAGTGTCAGGTGCGGGGCACAGGCCCCAGTGTATTTTATTTAGTCCTCTCAACTGTACTTGTGCTTGGCTGATTGATCATTTATTTGGTGGTACTGGGGCTTGAGCCCAGGGCCTTTATATTGAGCTACATTCCCCACCTTTTTTTTTTTTTTCTGAGACAGGTCTTGCTATGTTGATAAATTGACTAGGTTGGGCTTAAACTTTTGACCCACCTGCCTCAGCCTCTCGTATACTGGGGTTCCAGGTGTGCACCACCATACCCAGCTCCTTTTGGTTGGCCTTGAACAACAGACAGATCCTCCTGTCACAGCCTCCTACTGGGATTATAGATGCGACCAACATGCCTGGTTCTTGTTAAGAACTATATTCCTCTGTGGGGAGAGAGCTCACCTCCTCTTGAGGGTCAGGTTGGCAGGTGCTCCCTGGTGTTGCTTGGGGGACCCTGCTGTCATTGGGAGGTCGCCCTCCCTAGGGGCTCCTGACCTTCTTGGTTCTGGGTTGTGGCTGAAGGAGGGTCCTGGGTTCCACCCCCAGTGCCGAAACCGAACAAGACAAAACATCCAAAACCCAAAACAAACAAGCAAAACCCAAGATCTCCTATCTAGCCCTGTGGGCCTGGGATTTCCAGCTTTCCTGCCTCAGCCTCCTGCGAGCTGAGATCTCTGCCTGCGGCACCACACGCAGTCAGACAGTGTTCCGGACTGGAAAGTTACTTCTGAGAGCCTGAGCCAGGCGAGGCTTGAGTCTGTGCTAGCAGCAGCCACATTGCTCCTGTGGTGACCGTTGTTGCTCTCTGGCCGAGCAAGGTGAATTCCACCCCTCAGCTCTGGGCGTCCCACGCTGCTGTGCCAAGGAACCAACCTTTCCTCGCCCCGACTAGACGGGGCACGCGCAGCCCGCTGTCTGTCCCCAGTGGCCGTGCCCGTCTGATGGTGCCCCTGGTCACCTTGCAGCAGGGCCTGGATGCCTTCCTGCTGTGGAGATGGCGGGATCTGGACCGCCTAAATCTTCAGCAGAGCGGCCCAGAAGTCACTGGGGAGGCAGAAGAGCGTCTGGCACAGGTTGTTTTTGCCTAAATTCTTTTTCTTTCTGGGGTGGGGGGTTGAGACAGGGCCTAGCTGTGTAGTTCAGGCTGGCCCCAGCTCACAGTGACCCTCTTCCTCAGCCTCCAAGGTGCTGGGGTTACAGGACTGCGCCACCAAGCCCCAAACATTTTCCTACATTCCTGATCTGAAGAGGTTAATAAAACTTTTCAGTAAGTTTTCTTCAACCAGAAGTTTAAGTTAAATTAAGTTCCTGTCTCTACATCAATTTTTTTCAAGCTTTCCAAAATTAATGTTGGCTACAGACACAAAATTTTTTTCTTGAGCTAAACATGAAAATTTTATTTTATATTTTTAAGTTTTTACTGTTGGTCTTTTTTGAGACAGGGTCTTGCTATCCAGTTCAGGCTGACCTTAGACCCACTTTGTAGCCAGGCTGGTCTTGAACTTAGTGAGCCTCCTGCCTCAGCCTCCTGAATGCCAGGATTACAGGTATGCTCCACCACACCTGGCTTATTTTTTTTTAGTGGTTTTTTTTTTCTTTTATTTTTATACAGGGTCTCCCCTCGCAGATCCTCCTGCCTCAGTCTCCCCATTGCTGGGATTACAAGTGTTTGCCATCACCCCGGGGCCAGCACAGCATGAGATACTGGGGATCAAGTTTGGGCATGTGCTTATGCCTCCGAACTATCTCCCCAGCTGTTTATTTTATTTTTAAAGAGAAAAAAAAAAAATTCCAAAAGGATAATAGGAGGCTACTGATGGCTAATACATTGTGCATTGTTATCTTTACTTTTTGTTAAGAAACACAATATTGTGGTAACTTCTTTCGGTCAAATCCTATAGTAGGAGCTGGGGAGATGGCTCAGTGGACTAAGTGCTTCCCTGGCAAGCGAAAGGGCCTGAGTTCAATCCCTGGTTCTGCCAAAAAAACAAAAAACAAAAAACCACAAATCCTATAGTAGCCGCACATGGAAAATTCCTGGCCGTGGTGTGTGCAGCTGCCCTCGGGGCTGTGGTTCCTGCAGGCCACACCCACCTCACTCAGGGCGCCCTGCAGGGCCACACTGAGAGATAACCTCCTTGGGGAGGTCACAGAGGCTCAGTGGCCACTTGGCTGCTGGGGCAGCACCTCTGTCCTTCCTAGGAGTGACTTGAGCCGTGGGTGTGAGCGCGTGGGGGCCTCCGAGTACAACCGTGGAACTCATGCGGAGGTGGGGGGGTGTCTGTCCTCTCCTGCCTGGGTGCGGCCCAGCTGGCACTGCAGACCAACAGGTGTGCGCCTGGCTGTGGGCCACGTGGGGATGCCCTGTCCTTGTCAGGCTTTGGCCCTGCTGTGTCCCCACATTTAAAATGAGGGCCCATGTCCTCTGGGGACACCCTCACGCGTGTGCTCATGGCTGTGTGTGCCGGGAGTCCTCCACGGGAGTCTGCGACAGTAGGACTGTGCCTCGGGCTCTGTGTCCCCTCCCTGTCCTCAGCCCCACTTTGTGACTGCAAAGACTGTTGCTGGGTTTTATTCTGTGAATTTTTCCTGGAGCTTCACTAATAAGAATTGTGCAGTGAACAAACATCCTTGCACGCACGTCTGTGCCCTTTCTCGAGTGTTTCTGCAGAAGAGCTCCTCAGAAGTAGCAGTGGCAGTAAAAGTGAATTAAATCCCTATGCCTCAGTGGCTCGGTGGCTCTGTGGCAGCTGCTGTGTCACCCTCACGAGGAGCGCAGCACAGTCCGCACCCCACGGATTTTCCCACTGACATGGGACAGTTTACCTTCAGCAATTAATGTGTGTTGTTGAAGCCGGATGGTGGAAGGCAGGGTCTTCCTGCCTGGTTTGCACTCTTTGCTTTAAACAGGTCGGTGTGTGTTTGTTTGTCATGAGACGGGGCCTTTCTACATGGCCCAGCTGGCCTTGGGCTTTCCATTCTCCCGCCTCAGCCTCCCAAGTGCTGGGGTTGCAGGTGCGCCTGCGCCCACAGTGGAGAGGTCAACACCTGCAGCTGTGGCCACCAGCCCGGGTTCCAGGAGCCATCGGCTATCCTCCTGTGGGTCGCAGGCACTAGCTGGCTGGCACAAGGCTTTCCAAGACCCCTGTCTGGGTTACTCCGGGAACCACGGTCCAGTGAGCTCAGGGACCTCTCTTCCGTGCTGGAACCCCTCGCTGTCCCCATGCGCTTCTGCTCAGCTACCCAGCTGCTGTGCCCAGGCCGATGTGGGACAGCTGTTGATCCAGGCCCAGGGTTCCTGATGGGTCAGGACAGCAGTGTGGGGCTCCTGGAAGGACCACCCAGTGCCCGCATGCTTCCAGTCACAGCCAGGGGATGCCTGCCTTGGATCTCTGTCCCTTGTGCTCCCCAGAACTGCCCTGAGGAGTGCCGTAGTATGAACCGTCAGGAGGGCCAGCCCAGAGCAGACTTAGTTAGGTGCCCCTGACTCTTGATTTGGTACCTCACTTTCTCTACTTAGGATCCTTTTCAGAAGTCTGTCATTGGGGCTGGAGAGATGGCTCAGTGGTCTAAAGCACCTACTTGAAACAAGCTTGGCAAAGCACAGGGACCGCGGTTCAATCCCCCAGCACCACATGCCAGCCAGCCCCGCCCCCTGGTGGGCTGAGCTGGCCACACACACACACAATAAATAAATGTAATAAAAATAAATAAACCCTCAAGAGCGTATGCCATGTGCAGACACTGCTGTGTGCACACCATGGGACGCTGCAGCCCCAGAGCTCTCTGGGCCCCTGCCCAGTGTTAGAGAGCACAATCCTGTCTTGTCCTTCTGAGTCCTCACCGGGCCCTGTAATAAAGAAAAGCAAAAAGCCAGAAGGTAGTGTGTCTGTCTGGGGTATCAGTCCCTGGGGCTGCAGCGGGGGATCAATGTGAGCTCAAGGCCAGCCTGGACTACGTAGTGAGACTGCCGAAAGAGGTTGGTGTTGGGTCCCTGAACTTCCCAGGAATGAAACCCCGTTGTCTGTGCTCGCTTGCTTGCTTGCTTTTTTGAGACAGCGTCTGGCTATGTAGTCCAGGCTGGCCTCAAACTCAGTGCTCCTCCTGCCGCAGTGTCCTGAGTGTGGGCTTATAGGTGTGCACTACTGTGCCCAGCTTGGTTTGGGCCTTTTATAAATAAAACGTGACAATCTGTCCTGTGTGGGTCTTTTGCGCACAGACCTTGTCACTGTTCTTGGTAACGACTTGGAAGTCCAGGAGTTCCTGCTCTGACTGTATGTGTATCTTTTACTCAGTAGAAACTACCTTGAGTCTGTGAGTTTAGTCCTGGCCCCAGGGAGTGGATCCAGGCCTGGCCACTGTGGCGGGCGTGGCGCCCCGGGGCAGTGACAGCACAGAGAAGGCCGCCTGCCCTGTCCGCCCTGCTGTACCTGCCCTGCTCGCTTCCCCGCAGGACGCAGGTGTCTTGCATGTAGAGATGCATCTTTGTGTTTTGCGTCTCTCTTCAGGGTTCCTTGCAAGTGAATGAAGAGAAAACCGGAGATGCCGGAAAATCCAGTCACAGGTAGGCCACAGGCGCTTGTCTTGGGTTGCAGGTTGTGCACCGGGGCAGTGAGGACAGTGCTCACGGCTCCTCCTCTTAGACAAACTGCAGGCGCTACAGGTGCTCGAGCGGCTGCGGGCCAAGCTGCAGGACAAGGGCGACACGTCACAGCACGACACACTGACCGCCTTCTGCAATACGCTGCAGAGCCCGCTCTTCACCCAGATCCTCACGCTGCAGAAGTCCCTGCGGCAGCTCAAGGGCCAGGTGAGTCCCCAGAGGGCAGCCCACAGGGAGGGATGGGGGTATGACGGTGAGATGGCCTGTGCACTGGGCCTGGTGGAGAACGGATTTGCCTCACCCTGGGGGGGCGTTAGCTGGGAGCTGCAGGAGTTGGTGATACATTCTAGGTTGGGCTCTGCAAGGTTTCTGTACTTGCTTAAAAGTGTGGGCCAGGGGTGGTGGCACACATTCATCCATCATCCCAGCACTCAGGAGGCTGAGGCAGGAGGATCTCCTTGAGTTCAAGGCCAGCCTGGTCTACATGGTGAGACCCTGCCTCACACAAAGAAAGTAGTCCCGGCTGGCGGCACACATCGGGCTATGCTTTGCTTCTTTCATATGCCTGTCTGCGTCTGTCTGTCTTCGTCTTCATTTTTTTTTAATGCTCTGGACTGGACTCACTGTGCTGCCCAGGCTGGGCTGTAGCTCATGGTCCTCCTGCCGAGCAGCTAGGGAGACCCCCGTGTGTGTGTGTGTGTGTGTGTGTGTGTGTGTGTCCGTCCATCCGTCCGTCTGTCCCCTAAGCCCTCCCCTGGCCTGTGAGCTGCATGTGGGAGTGGCAGCGCTCTTCCTGGGGACACTGTGGTCACTCTCTGATTCTCCCCCAGCTCAGCCACAGCTCCTCAGCGACTTCTGCCAACTTCGACTTCTCCCGAAAGGGCCTGCTTGTGTTCACTGACCTTGCTGCCAACGGGCATGCAGCCCAGCCCGCCGATGCCTGTGCGGCTGCCCCGGGGCCCGGGCCCTGCACCCCGAAGCCAGATGGCGAGGGCTTCAGTGCTGCAGTGGGGCGGCTGGCGCAGGTGGGCTCACTTCCCTGGCCCCAGGCTAGAGCGGGAGAGCGGTAGGTCCCTGGACTCACCCTGGGCACCTCTGTCCTCGGGGAGCCCTGGCTCCATGTCCAGCCCCTCTGTCAGAAGTGGTGGGGTGTAGAGTCCCCCGGGAACATCTGTGTCAGGAGGGGAGTTTTAGGCAAAGATTCCATCGCGAATCGGATGTCTCTCTCCTAAGAGGAGAGAGTCCTGGAGTGATCCAGCACGCGTGTGTCTGCACACAAGGGGCAGAAGAGTCCTGAAGCTTTTTAATGTTATACCAAAATGAACTAGTGGCTGCTGGAAAATAATGCAATTTGGGGATCTGGGGAAATGACTTGCAAGGCAGCTGCGTGAGCCCCTACACCTGTTAAATCTAAATGACAGTTGGACTTCGGGATGTGTTACTTTTGTGTTTGTTCATTTTACCACCAAAGAAATAGCTTTGCATATGAAATTTGAGTTCAAAACTTAGCTCTGTGGCATAAGCTCCTGCCTGGCAAGCGCAAGGTCCTGAGTTAGATCCCTGGTGCTCCAAAAAAGGGAAAGGAAGAGACAAACAAACTAAAAGCTGTCTAACCCAGGCAGGGTGGTGGTCCCTGCAATCCCAGCTCTAGGAAGGCTGAGCAGGAGGGTTGTGAGTTTGGTAATGGCCCAGACCCATTAGCAAGACCATACCTCGAAATAGAATATAAAGTAAAACCAAGTGAAATAAAACGAACTAGTCTGCTTCAGGGGTGATAGGTAAGTGTCATTTGGGATTTTGGCTTTGGGGACTGAACCCAGGGCTTTGGAACTGAGATACACCCCGACTCCTTTGTTACTTTTATTTTGAGGCAGAGTCTCACTGCAGTACCCGGGCTGGGTGAGGACTGGCGGTCCTCCTGCCTCAGCCCCCCGAGCGATGGCTGGAAGGCGCTCCTCCACGCCTGGCTCCACTTCCTTTCTGACTTCGTGGCTGTCCCCCTCGCGTGATGCTCCCATGAGCAGATGGCACATACAGAGTTCTCACTGTATGAATGCAGCTGCTGCCGGGCAGTGTGTGCAGTGGGCGTGACGCCTGTCCTCTGTCCCCTCAGGGCCGACAGGTGGAGTGCATCGACTTGGAGCGGCCGCCCACTGGGGGCCTGGGCTTCAGTGTGGTGGCCCTGCGGAGCCAGCGCCCGGGCGAGGTGGACATCTTTGTGAAGGAGGTGCATCGGGGCAGCGTGGCCGACAGGTGGGGCGTGGTGTTTTTCTGCTGGTTCTGAAGATGATTTTATGGTCATTATTATTGTTAGCGCACTCCCCCAAGCCACTCCCGGCCCAGCAGACCTCTGTGACCATGCCTCTCTGCCCCCGCCTGGTGGCAGCTGCCGCACACAGCTGGGTACCCAGGGTGGGAAGACACCCAGGCGGCACTACGTGCAGTCGGAGTCTGCGGTCTGCCTCTGGGGCAGGAGGGCTGGGGTGAGAGGGCTGAGCTCACAGTGTGGCAGGGACAGCGCTTGTCCAACTGTTCCTAGCTCAGAGGAACCCCACTCATGGGTTCCAGGATCTGAAACTCAGGGAGCTGCTGCTGAGTTGGGGCACAGCAAGCCCTGGGGAGCAGAGGCCGACGCTTACCAGGGAGAAGCAGCTTGGTCAGTGTGACTGGTGTCAGTGCAGAGGTATCTGTGCACAGGCCAGGGGGGAGGGCTTGGGCGGAGCCTTGAGCACCGGCCGTTACCCTGGTCTCGGGGTAACCGCTGTGCACTGGGCCAGGGCAGCTGGTGTGCCCGGAGCAGCAGCGAGGCATGGGGCAGGCTTCTCAGCGCGCAGCTGGTGTGCATCCCTGAACATCCTTCCTTAGGAAGTGTTGCGGGTTCGTAATCGATACAGGAACCCAAGTAGCCAGTTAAGATTTTGAAGGTCTTTAATAGCTGAGCTTCGCGGCATAGACCCCGTTCAGAGTCCGAGTGGGTGGTCGTGAGTATATAAAGTGAAAAAACAGAGAAAATAAGTAACACTTCCTGCTTGTCAAACAGAATGAAAATGTAACTCTCTTCCTGTACGTCTGGCGTTTTCTCTTGTTACTGCTGCAGGTCAGCGCTTTGTCAGGGCACATTTCCTCCTTGTTTTGCATGTGGGCCTGTTTTCGCAACTAGAGGGTCCGCTAAAGTTTATCATGGCGATACTTATGCTAAGAGTCTGGGTTTAGGCCATCACAGGAAGCAGTCCTTGGGCTGTGCTTCCTCTGGAGGGTTCTCTCGCATATGTATGTATGTATGTATTTTTGAGACAGGGTCTGCCTATGAAGTTCAGGCTGGCCTTGAACGCACGCTGTCCTCCTGCCTCAGCCTCCTGAGCGCTGGGATGCAGCCGTGCGCCCGGCCTGGAGGACTGCGGTGACCACGGCGCACGATCAGCACACAGGGCATTCATTCACTCGCTCATTCGTTGAGTGCCCTTCGGAGTGCCAACCGGGCTCGGACCTGGTTACCTTCAGCACCCACGTCTGGAGTCTTGGGGCGGCAGGAGTGCACCATGGTGATGACGGGGGACTCCTGCCTCCCAGAGAGCACAGCAGAACACCCTCAGCAGTCCTGGTGGACATGGGCTTTAGGTAGGGCTCCCTGACACAGGGCAGGGTGCATGAGCAGGACACGTGTGGCTTTGAGGGCACTGAGACCCTGACCCTCAGCCAGGCAGAATGGGCCAACACCACAGCCTGCACTCCAGGCCAGAGCTGCGGGGGGCACCTGCACATACCCAGCTGTGCTCCAGCTGCTCCACAGAGGTGGAGCAGGGAGGGAGGTACGCACACGCCCTGACCTGCAGGGCTCCTCAGTGTCCACAATGGTGCTGTCTTAGCAAAGAGACTTTTAGAGTTTCCTTTCCAACGCAGTGTTGGCTAGTAGCTGGAAGACTGGTTCCTGAAGGATACGGGAGCCATGGTCGCTGTGACCAGGTCATACTTCTTGGACAGGGAGGACAGGGGGACCTGCTGGTGACAAGGCTGGGCTGTGCTAGGAGGCAGCTGCCACAGGGTGGGCTGAGTCGGCCAGAATGCCAAGTCTGGATCCCGCATTGTTTTTGTTGCCAAGTTGTTTGTATTTATTTTCCTAGGCAGATAGCTTTTAAAAGTGAGTGTCCTTGTGTGCACATGCACGTATGTGTGTGTATGTGTGTGTGCATGCGTCCTGCATTCAATGATGTTGCATGGTGGGTGAAACAGGTATTGGGTCGGGGACCCAGGGCAGGCTGCCGAGTGCCGGTGTGATCCTGGGGTATACGCAGTGCAGCAGCCCTGAGCACACGCTGCTCCCAGGCCGTCACCAACCACATAGCCAACCATGATTCTCTCCTCTGCCGTGCAGGGCTCAGCGGCTGAAGGAAAATGACCAGATCCTGGCCATCAACTACACAGCCCTGGACGGGACAGTCTCCCACCAGCAGGCAGTTGCTCTGCTCCAGCATAGCACGGGGCCCCTACACCTTGTGGTGGCCCGGGAGCCCAGGCTCCTGAGCAGCGGGACACCCACCAGCCCCGTGTGCGCCGCCGCACCCGAGGAGGTAAGTGTGGGGGGGACCCTCCTCACCTGGGGGTTGAGGACTTAGCAGGCAGCAGCCACTGACGTCAAGAAGGGCTGTTGTGCAGCGAGCACAGCAAAAACTGCTGGTGCTCAGAAGCCAAGTTGTGCGGAGGGCATTTGTTTATATTTTGTTTTGCTTCATTTCATTTTTGTCTTTTTGAGACAGCGTCACACTGTGCAATTCAGGGTGTCCTGGTGCTCACTCTGGAGCCCCAGGTGGTCTTGAACTCACTGATCCTCCTGCCTCAGCAGCCTCACAACTGCTGGCACTACAGGCATGTTTTCTGAGACAGGGACTCGCTGTGTGTGCCAGTCTGCCCCTGAATTCTCAGTGATCCTCCAGCCTCAGCCTCCCAATACATTTGGTGGGGCTTTTTTTTGGTTTTTCAATGTCCTATGGGTCTTCTTAAGGTTATTTTTTAACATCTGGGCCATACCGAATCTCAAGTATGATTTATTGATGGTGGAAAGTTTGCGCTCCTTGAAGAGGTAGCCAGTTAATTGAGGGTTTTTACTAGAGATTTTCTGTTGAGCATCCCAAGTTTATTTCAAAAGTGTTGTTTTTCTGAGTGACGCAAAGGGTCACGGCTAGGCCGTCAGCGCGTCGGAAGTCCTTGCTTTCACGCGAGGGTGCACGCGTGCTGCACAGTTTGCAAGAAGAGCGTCTCTTCTGGGACCCTTCAACTTGCTTTGTAGGTTTTGGCTGCGTCTTCAGAATGCAGAGCAGTAAGCCTTATTTTCTTAGAACACTAAGTGCTCGCTGATTTCTTCACTCTTCCTTCTGTGGGACGCAGCGCAAAGCTGCATGTCTGGTGCCCAGCGAGGTCACAGGCTGTCAGCCTAAGCGCTGCCCAAGGCACCCATGACGCTTAGGCAGCCCAAAGCAGGAACTGCGTAGCTGGGAAGAGGCAGACTTTCGGCCCCTTCGTGCGTGCGGCCGCCTCCCAGGTGCCATGAAGTGCTCCAGCTGGGAGCCCGGTGCATTTCCCAGTGTGCACCGCATGCATTTGGTTGCTCAGTTCCTCTGTGTGCAGCACAGGGGCCCGAGCCAGGGCCTTCTCCTGGAGCATGCTCGCTAGCCCTTTCTTCATTTTACACTTCGAGGCAGATTCTCAAGTTGCTGAGGGGCTTGAACTTTTGTCCTCCTGCGTGCAGGAGACATGGCCTGTGCCGCCCCACCTAGGTTCACGGCCGTGCTCTGCCCCCTGCAGTGTTCGCACTTCTTTGCCCAGCTCCACCTCCGCACAGCGCCTTTGGCTGGGGCTGCCTTGGGCTTTGCCAGCGCCTTCCCCTGTGCTCACACATCGTCCTCTGCAGAGCAGGTGGTTTTGTTTTGGTTTTCAGCATAGGTTGTTTTGTAGTGTATCACTTTGTAGCCCAGGCTGGCCTTGCCCTGAGCACTGGGATGACAGGCATGGGCCACCATGTCTGGCTGTAGTAGTTATCCGTTTTTGTTTTTGGTACTGGGGATCAAACTTAGGACTTTGCACTTGCCAAGCAGGCACTTGTGCCACTGAGCTATCTCCCTGGCCTTTTAACACAGTTCAAGCGCCCGCTCCTTATCTTGAGTTGTGTGTCTTATCCCTGTGCTGGCCCCCAGCATCTCCACGATGCTTTGGCACTCTTCTTCAACCCCAGTGCAGATTCTTACGGTGCCAGGCCTGTGTGTGTCCTGGCTGCTAACGGGGTCGGTTCAGTGCAAAGCGCTGGCCCGGAGGCCTGGTTCTGCCCGTGCTTTCCTTGTATTTCAACTTCTCTCCTGGTTTGCACAATCCCTGCGGCAAGGGCGTCTGTTTCCGTGTGTCTATGTGTGCGTGTACATGTGTCTGCGTGTGCTTCTGAGTCCGTGTGTGCATGTCTGTGCACGTGTGCTTCTGTGTCTGTGTGTATGTGTGTATGTGTGTGCCTTTGTATCTGTGTGTGTGTGTCTGTGTGC